GGGAAGAGGTACGGTAGCATGAGGCGGCTCAGTGTAGCAGAGGAGGGGGAGGAGTAGCGCGCAACTACAGCGTCGTACAAGGCCTGAGCGGTCTTGCACTGACTAAAGTGTGCACGCTCGGAGGAAGGGAGGTGGCGACGCACAGCAAGACGTGCAGGGGCATCGCGTGAGGCCCACTTGGAGCGAACAATGGGGTCAGCATCAACAGGAGGGGCAGGGACAGCGCCAGAGACAAAGTCAAAGAGAGATACTTCATCTACCGTATCGCACAGCAAGTACAGCTGCAGGTCGTCGACCCAGACCGCAAAGTCAATGGCGCGACCCTCAGCGTCAAAAGCCAGGACACTAGGGGTGGCCATGATAGCAGCCGACAGTCTCACCGGACAGAAAGGGTCGAGCAGCTCAGCAGCACAGCAACACGGCAGTACAGCAACTCTGCCGGCCCAGGAGCAGCAGCAGCCCCACAGGAGCAGGAGCTCGGCACCTCAGGCGGCTGGGGCGGCTGGGGCGGCTCGGGCGGCTCGGGCGGCTCGGGCGGCTCGGGCGGCTCGGGCGGCACAGGCGGCTCGGGCGGCTCGGGCGGCTCTGCTGCACGGGCGGCTCGGGCGACTCGGGCGGCTCTGCTGCACGGGTGGCTCGTGCGGCTCGGGTGACGCGGGTGGCACGGGTGGCGCGGGCGTCGAGACGGGCGGCTCACGGGCGGCTCGCGGGCGGCTCACGGGCGGCAGAACGGGCGGCTGCACGGGCGGCTGCACGGGCGGCAGTACGGGCGGCTGCGGGCGGCTGCACGGGCGGCTCACGGGCGGCTGAGGGCGGCTGCACGGGCGGCTCACGGACGGCGGCCTGGGCGGTCACGGGCGGCAGCACGGGCGGCTGCACGGGCGGTTCGTCGGGCGGCGCATAGGCAGCTCACGGGCGGCTGCACGGGCGGCGCGTCGAGCTGCTGAGGGCGACGCACGGGCGGCGCACGGGCGGTGCACGGGCGGCGCGTCGGGCGGCTCGCGGGCGTCGGGCGCTAGGGCGCTAGGGCGACGACGGGCGGCGCTCAGGCCCTAGGGCGGGCGGCCGTCAGGCTCTAGGGCGGGCCGCGCTCGGGCTCTAGGGCGGGCAGCGCGCGGGCGCTAGGGCGGGCGGCGCTCAGGCTCTAGGGCGGGCGGCCGTCAGGCTCTAGGGCGGGCCGCGCTCAGGCTCTAGGGCGGGCAGCGCGCGGGCGCTAGGGCGGGCGGCGCTGAGGCGCTAGGGCGGGCGGCGCTCAGGCTCTAGGGCGGGCGGCGCGCGGGCGTCTAGGGGCCGTTAGGGCAGATCGAAAAAAAAGGAAGAGAAAGGGCCCGGAGCGCGCTCCGGGCAGAAAAAAAAAGTTACGAGGTAGTGGTGGTGGGCCCTAAGCACAGTTCCCATAGGGGAACCTGCTCGATACCATGAGAAGAAGTGAACGAGAATGAAATGACTATGAACGAAGTGGGTACAAATAGGAAACCCTTGTTGGGTTGTACCCCCTATGGGATACCCCACTATAGCCTACACAAACAAGTAAGCTATAATATTCTGACATGTCATCCCTAGGTCCTGCGCTCGAAGGTGCAGCTTCAATATCAGTTTTCAACTGAGAAATGTTTGAAGGATTTATCAGAGGCCGATTCAGCTTCTCTTGGGCCCGGAACCTTCCCCTAAACCTTTGCAACTGTGTAGGCTTCATCTGTGGGGAACAGGGAGCCTTTAAACAGTGCTTCTGGGAGAGAATATTAACTCCTCGGAACGCTCGACCCTTATTAGCGCTCCTGAGTAGGGTCCCCATATTACCCGATATCGGTTTATTTTTTACTCTCCCTTATTATAGGCTTGAAGCCCACGAGAAGTAATATTCTTACTTGTCGGGGTGTACGGCTGGAGTTTCTCGGTCCGTGCAAGGTCTTGTTTCGCGGATCCTTCTTTAGTTTCGGCGATTTCCCCTGTTGCCGGCTCGTCGTGACGTTTTAAATTTGCGCCACCATATTCTCCTTTTTTTCGCCCTCTCCGAAGTTGCCACGTTGTCCTTTTTCTGCTTCGGGGGTGCCACACTGTTCTTGTCCCTCAGCTCCGCACGCCTTTTCTTCATTTTCCAACACGCCAAGATACGATGTCCTGTATGTCACAATATATATATTTGTAACTGCCTGTAGCTGTAGTTAGTGTAGATATTTAAACTTTGTTTGGTGGTGCACCTTATGTGTTTCCTTTGCTATATGTACTTCGAATGCTATAGTGAAAACACATTCTCCAATTTTCCTCTCAACTCACTCGACACTCACCCTAGGTGAAAACCCGCTCGACACTTAAGTTAGGGCCTAGGCTACTAAGCCTAGGCCCCACCTTTCTACAGTTAATTACTTAGTCTCTCGACATGTTATCGGAGCTAGGTTCGTCCTGGCCTGTGGGCCCACTTTACACTTCCGCTGCTAAGGTTTTCCGGTCGCGCGCCTAGGGCGCGTGACGATTTTATTTTTACATTGTCCCGCCCACGGGCGAGTGACTCCTTCCCTGCTCGTCGCGCGCCCCGTGGCACGCGACGGTGCCCTTCGTCTGCCCATCGTGCGCCCCGTGGCACACGATGGTGCCCTGCTCGTCGTGCGCCCCGAGGCACACGATCGGGCCCTTCTATTCTACCCGTCGTGCGCCCCGTGGCACTGGCCCGCGACGGGCCTTTCCGCCCCTGCACTCCCTGAAGCCGCCCCTGACACCACTGCACCGACACCTTTTCGCCGCTCTGCGGCTTTCTTCCTTCCCACCCCCCTCCTCCTTTGTCTCCCTGCAGCCGCGGGGAGGAGGGTATGGGGGTGGAGGGTGTTGGAGTGTGGCGTCACCTCTCTCCCTTCCCCTCCTCCTTCTTTCAGTCCCACCGCTGCAGCTGCCGCTGGGGGGAGAAGGTGTGAGGATGTGGGGGAGCAGGGGGAGTGGTACCGGGGTGGCGGGTGTGAGGCAACATGCAGCCGTCCCTCCACCTCTCCTCTCTTCCCCCCCTTCTCTGCTGCTCCTGCAGCAGTGTGGGGGAGGGGAAGGAGGAGGGTGAGGAGATGGAGGGGGTGACCACTTAGTGTCAGCCCGCCTGCATTACCTGCTGTTGCTTGCTATTTATTTTGCATGTGTACACCTGCAGGTTGTATTCTACACATACTCCTGCTGCAGGCAGTTATGGGGGAGTGTCACAATATATATATTTGTAACTGCCTGTAGCTGTAGTTAGTGTAGATATTTAAACTTTGTTTGGTGGTGCACCTTATGTGTTTCCTTTGCTATATGTACTTCGAATGCTATAGTGAAAACACATTCTCCAATTTTCCTCTCAACTCACTCGACACTCACCCTAGGTGAAAACCCGCTCGACACTTAAGTTAGGGCCTAGGCTACTAAGCCTAGGCCCCACCTTTCTACTGTTAATTACTTAGTCTCTCGACACTGTAGCACCGCAAAATTTGCATGTCTCATTTTTTGCTAGCCGCTCTCCACATCGCCCTCGTCGTTCTCCATCGGGTCGGCAGTTGTGGGTGGTGCCAATCGCCCCATGCCACTAGTTGTCTTGTTGCGTCGTGTTCCGTAGTAGCTACTGTTCAACGTGTCGAACTGTTCGATCAGTGCTACCCGAAACTGCGCCCACGTCCCCTCGCCTTGGACTATTCTGTTGTTGATCCACAATAGAGTTGGGCCTCGTAACAGTGTTGCTACGAGCCGTATGCACATTGCGTCTTTTTTTGAGGTCGTGCATCCAACGGCTTCGAAGTAAATTTCGAGTTCAATTACAAATCGATGAACGTCGTTCCCTTTAAGTGTAGGATCGAACGCCTCTGGTAGCCTCGGCTTCACTGCTTCGAGGTTAACTGTAGCTGCTGCCGTTGTTGCTGGTAGAATTGTCGGTGTCGCCGCCGCTGCTGCTGATGCTGCTGTTGCTGTCGCTGCTGCATTCGCTGCTGCTGTGGCGGTTACCGACTGGTTTGCAAGGAGTTTTTTGAGTCGTGGTAGCGCCGCATTTATCTGCTTATGCTCGGCACGTAACTCCGCGATTTTCTATACTGAAATATCTCTTTTTCCCTCCATTTGGCAATTTGCAGGAAGATGCACGACGAAAATAATCAGATTCTAGGTGCTGGTCGACTTACTACGAGTCAAGCTGACTGTAGAATCGACGAGCGTGAATTCTGTAGGTCGCGTAAATCTCCCTGACATGAAATTCACATTCGATCTCGGCCGTTGAGGAGAAACTCGATTCGACGCTCCAAATTCCAAATTGTGCGGAACTGGATTTACATACCCGTATCGGCGCTTTCGCCGTCGCCCCCGCGATTTTTAAAGGTCGGAACTAAGCGGTTGAAGACCTCGCGTGTAAACCCACTCTTTTTGCCAAGTGTGAGGAACTGGTTCAGGAAAGATGATTCTATTGAATGATTCACCTTGGTACAAGGCGAGTCTATATATAGGCTCGACACAAAGGCAGTAACCAGGATGTTACTAGAAGGTTCCGCGGGTCGCGAAGCGTCCCGAACGGATCCTTCCTGAATTTGGTAGAAGGCAATTCGGTGGCAACCGAAAAGCCTAGAATTCGGTGCACTCAACGTAATTCGGTGCCTAGAACTATAATAACTATAGTAAAGGCAACGAACCTAGGAAATCAAGCAAAAGCATGCAAGATAAAATAGAGCTAAGCTATTAATAACATAATAAAGTCCTGGCAAGCTAGCAAAGCCAGCATAAGCCGTCGTACTCTCACAACGGCGGTGCATGCCACGAAGGCGCTGCACCGAGGGGTGACCAAGACGGTGGTGCTAGAGGACGGTCTGGTGTGACAAAGCGCGACACGAGCAGGGGGGCGCTATCTGACCTGACGCAAACGCAGACGCAGATGCAGCTACCTGAGGGGACACAGTAGTCACTGTGTACAGACTCGAGCCAGGAGCTAGGGTAAACGTGGCCATGTGCCGACCGGTCCGAGAGCATGTACAGTGGGTCACATGCTGACCTCCAGGAAAGAACTAGTCAACCCACTCATCCTGGAGGGCAGCTCCACTCACCAATTTCGTAGAGAACGAGGGGAGGTGGAGACCCGACAGTGAACCAGACGGCACAGCAGGACACGGCAGGACCTTGGAGGAGTGCGCAAGGACGGGCACCCCAGAGGGGTCCGCTAGGGAGACTGCAACTGGCCGACTGAGCGGCGTGAGTGTGGTGCTGTCGCGAAAGAAAGAGCGAGAAGCACCTGAGTCAAGTGTGAAGGTGTGCAAGGCCTCAGTAGGTGCAGTACTAGAGAGAGCAGACTCACCAGTACCTGGAGCAGCAGACTCACTAGCACCTAGAGCAGCAGCCTCACCAGTACCTAGAGCAATAGACTCTATACCTGGGTCGGGCGGCACACACAGGTAACAGTCACCCTCAGCACTAATAGTCACAGCATACATGGTAGCAAGGATAGCATCATAGTCAAGAGCAAAAATATCAACATTCCGCCTAAGCAGATCAGCCCAACTAGGGAGCTCAGCAGCGTCAGGAAACTGTACGCGCCAGGCGTCAGACATGCGACCGAAACAGCGCTGCGACGTGTGTGGCCCTTTGCACGTCTCCCCACGGCGCCCGCCGATGCGGAGAACGTAAGTGCAGGGACCAGCATCTCCAGACCTCCCACGCCCAGCGTACCAATGACGAAGCTGCTAGTGCGACGGGGTCTCGCGGGAACGCGGCTGCTGCTGGCGGTGGCTGCCGCCAAAGCCTCCACGCTGCGCAGCTCCACCCGACCAGCACCATCGCCTCCGCCACCTCCACCGCTGCCGCTACCGTCTCCACCGCCGTTGCCGCTGCCTCCACCACCGCTGCCTCCACCACCGCCGCCGCTGCCTCCACCACCTCCACCGCCGCCACCGACGCCCCCACTCCCCCTTGCCTCCACCCCCACTCCCTCCGCCTCCTCCACCGCCACCACCGCCGCCCCCGCCACCACCCTTGCCCCCCTTGCCCTTGCTGCTGCGGCGCCTCCCAGTAGGAGCCGACGTAGCCCCGACCTCCTCGGTGCCAAGGAGGTCGACAGCAGCAGCAAAAGCAACAGAGGGCAGAAGGGGAACGAGGGAACACCCCTCAAAGAACGGGGCGCGGGGGTCGCCGCGAGAAGCACCTACAGCAACTATACTCTTCTCAGCTGCAGTGAGGCGCTCCTCTAGCAGGTCGACGGTGAGCGTAGTGGGGCAAAGGGAGAGAAAATGATCCCTGACTGAGGAAAGGGAGTCAGGGAGAAGGGTGACTAGGTAGAAGAGGGTGATGTACATGGGGGGCGGGTTCTTGGTGAAGAACTCGGGGGGAAGTGCAATGCGGTAGCGGGCGTCACTAGTGCGGAGGTGAGTAATGAGGTCAGCGACTGTGGCAAAGGCGGCCAGGTCAGGGAACAGGTACAGTAGCATGAGGCGGCTAAGGGTAGCAGTGGCAGGGGAGGAGTAGCGCGCCACGACAGCGTCATACAAAGATTTAGCAGTCTTGTACTGGCCAAAATGCGCGTGCTCAGCAGAAGGCAGGTGACTACGAGCAGCAAGGCGAGCAACAGCGTTACGAGTAGTCCACTGCGAGCGAACAGTACTGTCAGCATCGGCAGCAGGTGCAGCGGAGGCGCCAGACGTGAGATCAAAAAACGAGACTCCGTCCTTGCTATCGCATTGAAGAAACAGCTGCAGATCATCTACCCAGACATTGAAGTCAACTGCATGACCCTCAGCATCAAAGGTAAGAACTGTAGGGCTAGCCATGGCGGCAGTAGTAGCAGTAGCAGCAGAAACAGCAGTAGCAGCAGAAACAGAGTGGTCAGGGCAGCGCGTCTCAGTATGGCAGTGCGTCGCGGCTCGGCTGGGCGGCGCGGCTCGGCTGAGCGGCGCGGCTCGGCTGGCAGGCAGGCGCGGGTGGCGCGCTTAGGGTAGGTGCTCACCAGGGGCGGGCAGGGCAGGCACGACGGCGGGGCCGCATCGGCGGCGGTCGCGGCGGCGGCTGCAGGCGCGACGACGGCAAGGCAGGGCGGCGACGACGGCAGCAGGCGCGACGGCAGGGACGCGACGGCGGCTGCAGGTCAAGGGCCGCGACGGCGGCTGCAGGTCAAGGGCCGCGACGTGGGGCGGCAGGGCAGGGCCGCAACGGGCGCCTGAGGCAGGCCGTGATGTGGGGCGGCAGGACAGGGCCGCAACGTAGGGCAGCAGGGCAGGGCCGCGACGTAGGGCGGTAGGGCAGGGCCGCGATGGCCGGCAAAGCAGGGCCATGACAGGCGGCGGGTCAGGCCGCGACGGGCGGCGACAAGGCAGAGCCGCGACGGGCACGGCCGCGACGGCAGGGCCGCGACGGTAGGGCACGCGCTCGACGGCGCAGGTGAGGCAAGCGCGAGGCGCGCGACGGGGGAGGCAGATGCGGTAGCGCGCTTCGGGCAGGGCAAGAAAAAAAATCGTGGTGGGCCCTTAATTTTTTTTTTCGTTCCCACAATGGAACTTATCTGATACCATGTGAAAATAAAGAACGAGGAATGATGACCTTGAGCAACATGAGGAGTACAAGTAGGAAACACTAAAGTGTTATACCCCATATGAACTACCCACTACAGCCCACACAGACTATAACATATAAGTTTGACATTACGAATGGCATATTTTCCCCTATCTAAAAGTCAACAACAGTATCATTTTTTTTGCACTTGCAGTTAGAATTTCTAATTGCAGCTTGAATTTCGAATTGCAGTTTGTTTTGAGTTTGCGCGGAAAACGAATATCAAAACTGTGACTGAATGAACTGACAATATAGTGAAGTCAAGTGACAATAAAGTTGTCGAGGAGAAAAGGCCCCGCCCTCGCTTGGGCGAAGTCGGCCATGCTTTTCGGAGCACAACGGTGTTCGTTTCGTGGTCATCGGTGACTTCAGGGACATTTATCTCTGTTCGACGGGTCGATTTTCGAGAAGATTAAGTCCTCGAAATAGAAGTGTTGTTTCTGCTCTATGCAACTGTCCATCGACAAGGCACTTGTCGAGGGGAGCAAATCAACATCGAATTCGGGCCTTACGGGTCGACGGAATAGGAGAAAATGGCGTTTCGGCGAAACGCTGGTCGACAGAATTAAGCTCGAACAAATAATCGTCAGGCAGATAATTTCTGGTCGATCAAAATTACTTGTCTTCAAAAATTGCATTGTGGGCGAATTTCGATCAATCGCGAAACAACAAATTTCGACCAATCAGAGCATTTCGAATCAGTAAGGAAACTGAACCAGAAACACGTTTCTACTAACAGTAAAAACGTAAACAAGTAAGAATATTGGAAACATGAGAAGCTGCCAACCCAGGAGAAAGGCACGTGCTTGTCGTTTCACCTGGTGTTGCTGACTCGGAAAGGTCGAGCGTTTGTCGAGGAAAGTTTCTCCAGGGTTCATTGTGGTTGCTATTTGGGATCTCCTTGCTTGTACCATAATCTTGTTCTATCAATTTTCCTTAGTGAAACTATGCTCGAATTCTACAAAGTCATTCAAACACTTTGTCCAGAATCACTGCCAGAACTCTGACCGTGCATCACACACAATTCAGCTCTCCCTTAGAATATAATTCTTCGCATAGTGCGGTGAGCGTGGAACGACCCTGTTACAAAGTAGGAAACTAGAATGACTAGAAACAGGACAGTACAAGGTTTGTATAGGCAAAACCTAATAGTACTGTATCCCATAAGGAGTGCCCCACTATAGCCTACAATATAGTTCTGACACACCCCGATAGGCAAAGTGGGGGACAAGCAAGAGAACAAGACAAGGTCAAGCTCAGGGTGGATCAAGACGTCACTACGCAATCTGAGCACAAGTAAAAAGGCCACAAGGCCAATTCACATGCAGAGTAATAAATCAAGGTGACCAAGTAAGACAGTGATCTCAACCTAGAAAGGGTAAGCATGCAGGTGCAGGTATATATAGATCACAGTACAAGCAAACTCAAGAGGTGAGCAAGTGAGGCCAGGTAGGCACAAAACCCTAACATAGTACAAAAACGCTGATGATTACAAGGCTGAAGTGCCTTGGTAAAGATATCAGCAGTGTTGGCCCGAGTGGCCATGTAAGCAAGACGAAGCTGACCACGCTGCTGCAACTCTCGAGCAAGGAAGTAGCGCAAAGCAATGTGCTTCGTTCTATGCTCCAGTCTGTGCTCCCGACACAAGGCCAGCATGGCCTTGTTGTCGACGTACAGAACAGGAGGAGAACGAGGCGCCTCTCCCAAGTTGGTCAGCAGGTAGGTGAGCCAGCGTAACTCCTGTGCAGCCCCCAGCGTAGATCTCAGCCTCACAACTGGAGCTGAGAACAGAAGACGAGCGGGTAGACCGCCACGAAAAAGAGCCGGAACCAAGGCTTAAGGTGTAACCCTGTGACGGCCGCTACGTAGCCAAGTCGTCAACCCAAGAAGCGTTTGCGTGACCAGTTAGGACAACTCAACCCGTTCTCCAAGCACGAGCCCCATGCCCGACATACTGCACAGGTAGCGCAACACCCTCTTAGCTGCATCCATGTGCTCTGGTCGGTGTCTCCTAGGAGCAACATATCGTGCCAGGATGCTAAGAGGGTATGCCAGGTCAGGTCGAGTGCAGGTCATCAGGTACATGAGGCAGCCGACAAGCTCTGGGTACGTCCCACTCGGCTCTATGGACTCATCCGAAGGCAGAGCTGAGAGCGAGTGGTGAGTAGACAGAGGAGTGGCCTGAGGCGAGGAGTACGAGAAGTTGAAGTGCTGAAGGACCTGCTGCACCATGTGTGACTCAATTAAGGTAATGGTGCGTTGTGCTCTGTCCCGGGTGATCTGCAAGCCATGATAACTGCGCACTTCACCCAGGTTTGTGCACGTGTGTCTCTTCTGCAGCTCCGACTTCACGTGGGCCCGTCCAGCAGTGTCAGCACCAGCAAAGACCAAGTCGTCGACGTACACGAGGATGTAGAACGGCGGCAAAGTAGTGTCGGTGCGGAGAAACAGCGACGGGTCAGCAGTGGAAGGAGCAAACCCAAGAGCCGCAAACGTAGTCCTCAGTGTGTCATGCCTCACACGGGGCGCCTGGTGGAGACCGTAGCCTGGCCGCTGGAGGCTCCACTGGGTACCAGGGGGAAACGATCCAGTGAAGCCAGGTGGGTGGCGCAGCCAGATCTCCTCGTGCAGGCTGCCCTGTAGGAAGGCTTTGCTGAAGTCAAGAGAGTGAAGCTCGTAGTCACGCTGAGCGGCGACGTGCAGCAGCACCCGAAGAGTGGTCATCTTTGGGGTGGGAGAGAAGGTTTGAAAGTAGTTAACTCTCTGTCGCTGACTAAAGCCTCGAGCAACGTAACGTGCCTTGAAAACAGGGGGAGAACCCGGCGGCCGCTTCACCCTGAAAATCCACATGCCATCGACAATGTTCGCCCCAGGTGGGGGAACCTCGTCAACGTAAGTGCCTGTGGACTTCCAGGAAGCCATCTGTGCGTCCATGGCTGTCTGCCACTGAGAGGAGTAGGGACCCTCTATCGCCTCTGCGTAAGAGCGCGGAGTCGGGATCTCTGGTGCATCCGGGTCTCCCTCAGGGGCAATCAGCATGGACACGAGATCAGGTAAAGCAGCAGCAAAGCACTGGAACTCCTCCTGCATGTCCTCATGGAGGTCCGTGCTAAGAGCACACTCACCCCCGACGGACGGAGGACAGACAGACTGTGACTCAGCAACAAGACTAGCAGCGTAGTCTAGACGACAGCAAGTAGCAAAGTCGACAAGCTCAGCAACTAAGGCAGACGCAGTAGTGGACTCAAAGGAAGGGTCAGTGACAACAGTGGCCAGGAGACGCGTGACAGTAGGACTAGCAGCACGAAGGGAGTCAAACTCCTGGTCAGTAAGGGCAGGAAGAGAGGACGCAGGAGGAGACGGCAGAGGGACACGCTGCGGAGTAGTGGAAGGACGAAGTGCCATCTGGTGCGTGCCGGGGACAGGAGGAGGATGCTGACGCGAACCACGATGACTAGTGCGAGCAGCACGAGCAGGCGACGCAGGACTAGACTCAGGCTCACGACGCTCCGTAAGACCTCCGATCGGACCAGTGTAAGGAGAAGGAGCAGGTAGTGGGGAGGATGGCTGGAACTGTGAGTGCGACTGGATAGGTGGTGGACACTATAAGGAAGGAGCAGGACTAGTAGAAGGCGGGAGACCAAGAACCTGCTGAAGGAGCAGAACAAAGTACGGTCGCGGCTGCGCAGCGCCTCCGGAACCAGCAGAGACAGCACTAGCACCCCTAGCGGCAGCTCCAACTCCCGCAGCACCTCCAGCTCCAATAGCAGCACCAGCAGCTCCAGCAGCGTTAACTCCAATACCCCCAGGAGCACCAGCTCCAGCAGCACCGCTAGCTCCAGCACCCCCAGCAGTGCCAGCTCCAGCAGGACCACCAGAAGCCCCAGCAGCTCCAGTAGCGCCAATGCCAGCACCTCCAGCAGCACGAGCACCAGCAGCACCACCAGGCTCAGCAGCTCGAGTACCTCCAGTATGAGCACCTCCAGTACGAGTGGCTCGAGAACCACCAGCAGCTCCAGCAGCAGCAGGAACCCCAGCACCAGTAGCACCACTAGCTCAAGTAGCACTGCTCCAACGGCGAGCAAACCACTCGCGCAACTGCTGTGGAGAGAGTGGCTCCCGCCGGGACGAAACAACCGAAGGACCTCCAAGCTCAGCACCTCCAGACTCCACACGTGCCGGCTCAGTACCCTCAGGCTCCGCATCCCCAGAGGCACCCCCC